CGTTCCAGAATTAAGCCGTTCTTGTATAACAATTCGGCTATCTGAGACACATTGCCCTTGGCGGTCAAAACCAAGATTACCATCGGGTTCACGAGGACCTTATTTAACAGGTAAGAAGGAAAAACATATGGGTCAGAGAAACATACGTTGGAGCCACTTTGAACTGTTCTCATCATGCCTTCTAGCTTGAGTGCTCGCTTGTTCATGAGAGGTTGAAGTTTGACAGATACTTTTGATTCCACTACAGCGAAGCTTTCCGGGGCTATGAGGCTGCCATTGCGTGACTGAGCCGGTGTGAAGACTAAAATGTCGTGCGCATCTGGTTTCTCATTAGCCGGTCGGAGCTTGACTGGCACGTAATCCATAGAGTTTGAATATTGGCTGTTTGCACCTGGTGTTTGCTGTTGTATATATGGAACTGGGTTGAGTACTAAAGCTGAGACAGTGATTTGTCCTATTAGTATAGTCGTAGTTGGGGGGAGGTTGTCATCCAGCACTAGCGTTTGATTCGGTGCAGATGTTGGTTGCATTGGTTGTATAGAAGGTGATCTTGACATGGGCGACTCTCGAGTTAGGTCGATGATATGGGGTGGATTCTGACCGAATTGGGTTTGAGGCGGGGCCGAGATCACGTGCGAAGGAAGAGACGAGGGGGTTGATCGCATTTGCGCTCTGTTTAAAGCAGCGAGTTGTTGTGAGAGTTGGATGTGGGTAGGTTGAGATGACCAAGCGCGCCCTTGGAAGGGTGCAGGGGTTGATTGTGATATCCACTGTGGTTGAATAGCCAGAGGCTGAGATAAAGGCTGAAAATTAGGAAATAAGACCTGGTTTGGATTAGCTCTAGTAGCAAGTAGATGGTCCTCTCGAGTTGGGAGCTGAGGGATGAACGAATTGTCGACTCCGTTAACGCGCGCTCTCTTGGCACCTGGCTGAGGAAGATCATCTTCGTTATCGCTTCCAGTCAGGTCAATGGGTTCATTGCCTGACCTGCCCAGGTAGGGCATCGTGGTAGGGCCGGAGAACGTGGTGGAGAAAGCCATGAATGTTCTTGTTTGGCCACCTGTTTAAGCGCGACCTGTTTCCTGACCCAATATGTGCAATTTACAATCAAAAACGACAAAAATGTGTCTACAATTAAACTGATTAAAATGGACAAGAAACATAACGAGCAGCTTAAGAAGGATCCGTGAACTCGGCAGCTGACTAAGAAATTGCTCATCCCCTTATGCACATCGCGATGATGACGGACGACGATCAGTCAAGCCTTGAGAACGTATCAATCAGCATCAAAACTCGGTCAATAGCCCCTAGCACTCACCCATCCTAGTGCGCGTATTGCTTGTGCAGCCGCTTTATGCTTTGCTTCGCTCCTCGTCTTGCCAGTACCCGTGGCTATAGGCCGAGGCTCGCCTGGTACTAAGCACATTCTAGTCAGTCAAATCACCATGAAAATCAAATAAAACATACACGTAATACTGGCGGTATGAGTAGGCTTGTGGCTTGGGCCCTCACTTCCCAAACCCCACTGCGGTTCGATTCGATGCTTGTTGCATTGCTCGTTAAAAAAGCCAAGGCCAATCTTTGGTCCATCTTGACTATTTCTCGCAATGCTTCCATTCCTAGGCTCTACATTGGGCGGTGGAATGTGGGGATTTTCAATATCTGGTGCGTTATTCACATTTGCTGCTGCAGCGTTCGGGATACCAATTGTTGACTGGTCGAAACCTGGGTCCGGAAGATTGTTTGCTTCTTCGATTATTTCAATGTCTTCCAAACTCTCCTTCACCACCGGCATCAGCCAGTCTTCTAGGACTCGGAAGTCATGAAGTCGGAAGAGAGCACCAACATAGGCTTGAAAGACTTCCACCTTAGCTGTGATGTTCTCATTGCGGAGTGTTGATTCTTGATCTGCACGCGCATTCAAGCGTGTGGGAAGCCCGTAAGCGTCCGACCAGTAAGAGACTCGCTCTTTTGATGTCAACAAAATACGTTTATCCTATAGATATTTCAGCTTGATGCAATGCCTCTCACAATGAAAGTGACGTACTGCCAAGTCCCCGCGCCTCGAAAGGGGTCGTTCCCGCTCTAACGTGGACGTCACGACAGTATTGATGAGGGATTCCCCTAAGAACGCCAACCTACAAGAGATAAGCCTCCAAATCTACGTTGGGAAGTTGTTTTACCTTTCATTGTCCATCGGGGCTTCGGTATCATATCGACGGCCTACGGCGCGCCCTGTCGCCGATCTGTGAGTGAATATCTGATTAATGTACCTTGGATTCGTAATTGGGGGGAGAGGGTGAGTGTTTACAAGATTCATCATTACTTGGCTTAACCTGACTCTCCTGATCCTAGCACTTTTTATACCGAACGCCAGTCAGACTACCCAAGGAGACTGTCTTTTCTGTACGTGTTTGCCTCACCGTGCAATCAGGCTCCGAAGCCCACAAAAGATATATTCGTTTGAATTGCTTTCTGACTGAGCTGCAGCCTCGGCTCACCGCCACGGGCGTAGACGAGGACATACTGGCAGAGCCTGATCGCCCGATTCACGTCCAGTATTAGGGTAATGTGAAAACAAAAAATGATCAAATGAGTTCTACATGAATTTATACACAATCGGTGGTCTATTCAAGCGAGATTCCGTGCCTTTAAGGTTGCAATCGCTTCATTAGCTGCTGTATTCTTTGCCTGGTTTTTCTTCATAGCAATCCCCTCCCCTAAGATGATCGTTTCTCCCCGAACTGAAGGATATAAGGTCATTATGGCCGAAGGAAGAAATTTGAATACATACCGGTCAATGTCACCACAGCTTTGAAGGTGGGTTGGTGAGCTGCACCCTGCTTTGCTTCGACCCATTTGGGCGTTAATTTCTTCTGAGTACAAATTTCGTTGAAGAGAGCAAGTCCTCCGGAGCCGGCAGGTTGAGGGGAGGTGGGACTGCCAGGATTTGAGGTGCCGTGTTGTGAAGGGGGGGTGACAGGTCGATTCGGTTCATTGATATTAGCATTCTCCATCGCAGTTCTAAGTGCTTCCTCTCTTTCAATTCTCTCCTCGTCCTCCACTCTTGCATCTTCCAGACTTTTTGGGACAATGGCCTCGAACCATTTCGTGATGACCTCCAGGCCATGTTCTTGATATGCGGCACCGATATAGGCTTTGAATGTTTCAACTTTAATCTTTTCACTTCGTTGCACTACCGCATATGCAGCTTCTGCTGCCATCACTCTTCTAGGGAGCCCGAAATACTCCGCCCATTTTGCGAGATGAGCATTGCATAATATAAGATTTCTGTCATACTTGGTGATTAAGAGTTCTTTATCAGCATTTTATTGTAATATATTTCGACGACTCAATGGGGGAACTCACGTCCATCTGTCCGACCCTTCGGTGGGGTGTCGAATGGTAAAAGATGGTTGTGACGACTAATTTTATGACCTGTTCTCCAAAATATGCATATCTGAATCATGAGCGAACGTTTATTAGGTCAATTCCTGATTTGATCATCTGATTGATGCAAATGATACCTCTCCGCTTGTTCAGAATCTTTGAGCGGGTCTTCCTCATTATGCGTGTTGACTGGAGGGAGTTCCAGAGACTTGTGTGTCAAGATTATCGCCAGAGTTCTAGAATCGAGCGAGGGAAGTGGGTGACGCCTTGCCAATTCTTCCATCTTATACCTGTCAACTGGGCTATCGAAATAGTGATTTGCGTAGAAAGACTATCCAGCAGGTTCAAGGATTTTCATCGAAGTATTTGCTCGTTTGCGATCTTATATCCTGGGCAGCGAGTTCCCCAATCAGGCTCCGAAGCAACACCCCCAACAAATCAGGCTCCAGCGCCTTTGATGCATTACACCGTGACCCAGTAATCGAGGGCGTAGGAGGGCTTACCAATAGATTCGGCCACTCGCTTCAGGATTAGAATCTCAACATGCTGGCCCAATCAGGTTCATCTCACGAGGCTAACGTCAGGCAAGTTATGGGGAAGAGATATCGCATCGATCGATGAGCTCGGCCGTACACGATTAAATTTCATCAGAACCAGCTTGGTAATCTAGAGGGGCAGATGGTGTTGGCGCGCTTGCACTGGACGCCTTGTTCTCAAAATGGGACCAATCCCAGCTCGGATCCCATAGCCCCCCTTTTTTATATTGCCACGCTGGTAAGATGGTTCCCAATAAGTCTGGAAGATGCAAGAGTGGAGGACGAGGAGAGAATTGAAAGAGAG